TATTTACGACTGAGACACTTATGCTGCAGGAGGTGAGCAGGTGCTTTTTTAACAAATTTGCCTGTGACAGCCCTTGACAACAGAGCTGCCATCCAAACGGGTCTTGATGGCACCTGGAATGGGCTGGCAAGGGTCCTTATAAAATTGTAAGTGGACAAAATCCTGCATCTGGGAAGGAAGAACCCCTTGCAATGACACATGTTGGGCACTGACTCTCTGGGGAGCAGCTCTGCTGAAAAAGACCTTGTGGGTTTTGTAGGCACAAACTGAACATGAACCAAATCTGCTTGGAGCAAAAATGACCAACAGCATCCTGGGCTGCCTAAGTCAGCAGATTAAGGAGCTCATTGCTTCTTTGGCAGCATTCAGAACACTGCATCCAGTTCTGGGTGGTGTAGCATAAAAAGGTGTTGGTAAACTGGGAGAGTTCAATGGGGAGCCATGGAAAAAGTCAGGGGACTGCAGCACTTGCCCTGGGAGGAGCAGCTGGGGAATAGGGCATATTCAGATGGGAGAAAATGTTTTGGTGGGACCTAATAGCAGCTTTCCAATGCTTATGACCAAGTTACAGAGAATATGAAGTTAAACTTTTCAGAGTGAATATTGTGGGAGGATGAAAAGGAGAGAGACATAAACCCAATCAAGAGAGTATTCAACAGGTATAGTGAGAAGCTTTTTCATTATGATGTCAGAAAATTTTAAATCACACCACACAGAGAATTTGGATGGTCTGCATACTCCGAGGTTTTCTAGACCTGACTGGATAAAGCACCAGCAACCATAATTCACCTCACAGCTGTACCTGTGTTAAGCAGCTGACTGGATCCAATGGCAACCAAAGGTCACTTCCAACTTCAATTACCCACCAACCCTACAATCCTCCTGGCTCCCTGGATCATTCAAGCTCATCACATAAGGACCCAGATAGGCAAATCCCAGTATTTCCTGAGCCATCTTGCTCCTGAGGAATCCTGCTATAAATAAAGATGATCAATGTCCCTCGTCCATCCCATTCAGCCTTGTCAGACTGATGCTGTCCTGATGGGGATTTCTGTGCACTCAGGACATGGACTCAGTGAGTCAAATGAGCTCCTTTGCATTGACCTTGCACTCAGCAGTTAATGTCTCCCTGCAATTTGTCTCTCCTCAGTTTAGTGTTTGAGGGTTTCTTGGTGAATTTGGGGTTTTGGAAGGGAATATTTCATGAGGTGGTTCTCCTGCTTTCTAGAGAGAGTAGAAGTAGAATCACATCCAACCACCAGTGCAAGAAAAAGAGAACTGAGAGAGCATCTGCTGATCTGTAGGATTTCAACACACAAGGTGCTCTTCTGAGAAAGCCCATGATAGTTCCTACAAAGAGCTGATCAGGATTGAAAGTAAAAGGAAAGAACACTAAAGTTACATGAGAGTGCTTCTTCTGTGGTGGAAAGCCAAAGTTCCAGGGTGTCTTCCTGGCCAGGTCACTTTCTGAGTGCCGTGTGTCGGGATAGCTCAGGATGAGCAGAGCTCAGCCCCAGGAACTCCTCCTGCTCAGCTGCTGCAGCCCAGGCTGCAGGCTCTCTGTCCAGGCTGCTGCTCCCAGTGCCACTGCCAGGGCTGCAGGGGCAGCCCGTGCTGGGCTTGGCTGTGTGACCCAGGGACAGGCATCGCCTGTGCACGGAAAGGACACGGACAGGGCCAGCGGCACCGGCTGCCACACACCAGGGGCTGCCCTCAGCCACCCCACAGCTGACACCACCAGCACCCCCACAGAATGGGATGGCAGAGGGACAGCCCCATCTCCTTCCTTCTCAGCAGAGCATCCCCATGGAAGCCCTCTAGTGAAGACCTGTACACCCTCGCTCTCCACAGCCACAAACACCTCCACAGGTGCTTCCAACAGGACTGAGAGCCCTCAGCCTGCCCAGTCTCACACCTGGCTCTGGGCTCTCTGGCCAGAGGACACTTTAGTGTCTCCTAGTCCCTGGCTGGTGCAGCTTGGTGCTTGCAGCCAGCCCCACACACCACACACTGTTCTCATGGGTGTTCTGGCCATCGTGGGTGCCTTGAATCCCAGCACGAGTCTCCTGCCTGTCTGAAATCCTTCTCTATATCCATGCCCAGCCTGCTGGCTGCTCCAGCTCAAATTTTGCTGACAAATCACATCTTAATAATTTCTCTTGAACTGAAAATGTCTTTATTTGATAAAATCCGTGAAACGGAGGTTGTCATATTCCACATACCCTCACAAGCTTGTCTTCCCAGACTTAAAATATCACAAGTGGTGGAAGCCTGTGTAGTAAGGTGTGTCTTAGCAGGACAGGAGGAGACCCCTATAGAGCTGGTGATTGAAGGAGGAGAGACACCAAGGCTCAACAGAACACTCCATTGTAGTTGAGGCCTGTGCAAGACCCCCGCCTCCTCCATCTGGTCTTGCAGACCCCATGCTCTGTATCAGCCTCTCTGTCTCATGACACTGCCTCTGTTGTAGCTGAAGTGCTAATGCAAGTCCAGCCATGGCTTCCCTGCCAAAGCACCACACCCTGCTCTGTGCCACGCAGTGCTCAAGGCCTGGGGAAGACACTCTTAGACCCACCATGACCACCCGGTGACCCAGGTCCCAGAGTTCTCTCTAACTTTTCCTTAGCTTCTATTTGTGATAATGGTTGGGCTGCTGCAGACAGTTTCCTCTGAGTGGACATCATAGTGTTTTTGAACACAAATGCAAGCAGAAATTAAAAACCAACCAAAGAAACAGAGAATCCATCTTCACATCCTGTTACTTTTGCACTGAAAGTGCGTTTTATGTTAATGTAGATTTTCATGAGAATTGGAAGTGACAACATAAAACATTTTGTGAAAATATAAATCAGAAATATTTTTAACAACTGACAAAGCAACAAGGGTTCAGAGTTGACTCTGGGAAGTGTTCTAGCAATGACTTTTTAATGCTATCCAGAATGCCTGTGAGTTAATTCCAAAACCAGCAAGGAGGAAGCACAGCCTCCAGTAGCATGATCCCGTAAAGTAAGTTCCTACTGATAAGTCACCAAAGGGAGTTATTTAAAAATACAGAAATAGAGCTGGTTCTACAATTTATTGTTAGTTGAATTCAATTCAGTAACTCATTAGATGGTGTTTCTGGTGCTTGGAAGTTGGTCAGGAACCTCAGAGCAGAACAAGTCAGATCAAAGCACCTTGAAAGACAGTGACCTGAGACAGGTTAGGTTGAGTCCTGGGGACGCATGCTACAGAATTCCCAGCAGAGGAGTTTATGGGATGCTGTTTTCTACAAAGCAGAGTTCCAGTAGGAGTCACTGAGAACATAACATGGCATTTAGGAGAACCAATAACTTGATGTAGGAAATAATTTGTACCCATCTGGAAAAGAAAATAAGGGAAGATAGGGAAATGAGGAGAAACAATATTGGTGGACCATGGACAATAATGGAAAAAATTGATAGAGGAAAAACATTAAAAAGAAGTAATATCTTCAGCCTGAATTGGAAAAATGTTTAGGGTCATATTTAGCATAATAAGATTGCTGCTTGACATGTTTGTGAAAGAAACACCATGTCTAACCAGATTCAAGTGTTTAACTTCAAAACTGAAAGTATAAAGCACTATTTAAAATAAAAGAGTACTGAACGCAAAATAAATGTCTGCAAAATATCTATGTTTCTTTTGCCACACTTCTGCTTTGAAATTATGACTTTGAAGCTGGTTTTACATCATGCCATAAGGTCTCTATTTGCATCTTCTTTCTGGGTTCTACACTGTGACCTTTTTCGGCTTTTGGGACAACAATATTGATGGCTTTGATTATTATCTATGATAGTACCATGCCTATCTATTACTGTACATAAATATATGCATGAATACATATGTCACAGAATCAGAGAATTGTTTGGGCTGCAAGGGACCCTAATGGACCCTTTGAGGGATGGGGCATCCACACTTTCAGAGGGCTGAACATGAGCCACTGTGTGCCCAGGTGGCCAAGGAAGCCCATGGCTCTTGGCCTGTATCAGCAATGGTGTGGCCAGCAGGACACAGGCAGGGATTGTTCCTCTGCACTCAGAACTGGTGAGACCACAGCTGGAATCCTGTGTTCATTTTGGGACCCTCACAAGGAGAAAGATATTGAGGTGCTGGAGCAAGTCCAGAGAAGTGCAACAAAGGTAGTGAAGGGTCTGGAGCACAAGTCCTGTGAGGAGCCACTGAAGGAACTGGGAGTGTTTGTCCTGGCGAAAAGGATGCTCAGGGCAGATATGTTTACTTTTGACTGTACCTGAAAGGACCTTGTGGCGAGGTAGGGACAAGGGGAAATGGCCTTCAGTTGTGTATGGAGAGGTTCAGTCTGGGTATTAGGAAACATTTCTTCATAGTAAGAGTGGCTGAGTTTTGAAACGGACTACCCAGGGAAGTGGTGGAGTCACCATCCTTGAGAATATTCAAAACACAAGTAGAAATGGTCCTTTGCAATATGGTTTAGTGGGCATGGTGGCATTCAGTCAAAGGTTGGATCTTGGAGACCTTTTCCAACATTAATGATACTGTGATCCTAAGGAGAAAAGGCAACCGAAAAAAGAAAAATATAAATGCCCCCTCTGCCACCTGGATATCTCCCAACAAAACTCTTAGTAAAACTAAGGTTGTGTATTAGATATTCTTCCCAGAAAAGTAAACATGAAAACTCCAACAGGCAGAAACATTCTCCAGCACACGTGTCACCAACTATTTGGATACCTTTTATTACTCTGATTCCATTTTCTCCTGGAGGAGTAGGACAAACAAGAAGTGAACTTCCTCATTTCATCAAGTCACTCATGCTTCAATGGGCTTTTGAACAAGAGGAAGAAGGTGTCTAGTTGTAGGGCAATAGGAAGCAAAATAGAATGGATAATGAGTTTTGATCCCTGTGGGTAATATTGGACGCTTTCAGTTCCGTTGACTGGGGTCCTTTGTGAGACTTCTGTGCACGTATAAATACAGGGAGGTGAGATGCCCCTCATAAACAGCAGCCCTGCCCTGGAGGAACTGCCCTCAGCTCTCCCAGCCCTGCAGCTGGCATCGAGGTAAGAGGCACACTTTGCACAGGAGAGCTGGGAGGTTTCCTGGGCAGCTGCTGTGGAATGCAGGGGAAGGGAAGGAGGCTTCAGCGTTGGGCTGAGAGCTGCAGCACAGACGGGAGGCTCTGCTGTGTGCATGTGCAGAGACTGAACCCATCCTTCAGGGCACGAGGAGATGGCTGCTGCAGGAGAAACAAACCTTACCAAGGGACAGGGTGGAGGGGGCCAGTGATACACAGTTGAATGTGAGAGTATTTTACAACTTACACTGGGGGATATCTGTAAAACAACACATATATCTAATTAAAACTGGGTAGTTATGTGTACATAGCTCATTGTACATTGTCTTCCAAATGAAAATTTCTGTGTCATGCCCTCACTCTTTTCCAGCTACTGCTATGTTTATTCTGCTAAAAATATTCTGCTATCTGTCTTTTCCCATCCCTTCTCAGAATCAGCTAGAGGAACGGCTTTTTTAGTCTCATTTATTTGTCCTGAAATGTAAATCTTAGTTTCAGTAACTGCTACATGATTTAGAGAGGGAGCTACTATCATAACTGCTCATTACTATTTCTGCAGCTGTTACTGATAAACACTCTGGCTTTTTAACTGAACTCAGACAACTGTGGGGGATTAGATATGTGTATTGGTAGTAGTGTTACGAAAAGACATTTAAAACCTGAAATTCAGTCTGATTTAAAAAGCCGATTATTACAATTTGGTTGCTTCTTGGTGTATATCAAGAGAAGAAATCTCTTGATTTCAGTAAAATTAATATAAAAAGAAAATAAGGTGTTTCAGTGAATTTAATTTCTGCCCTTAAAAGACAGGTTTTTTCCCTCCTGATTTTATGTAAAAAATTCACTTTCTTTTAGAAATTAATTGCATGTCTCACTACTTTTACATTGCATTCTATGTGGCTCATGAAACTGACTCCAAAGAATGAGTACCAGTTTCTAAAACATTTCTCATCTGCAGCATCAATTATCAACAGAAAGATTTATCATGAGTTGTATATTTTATTTTGTTATTACTTAGGATACACCAATAAGATGTTAAACAAAATGCTCAGGTTTCCCTCACTTGTATACATACTAAATTAAACTGGATTGTTGTGGTGTACAAATTTCATTTTACTTTTTTCCTCCAAACTAAAATTTCTGTGTCATGTCCTCACTCTTTCAGAACTGCTGCTATTTTTATCTTCTGCTAAAATTGTTTTGTATTTCCTTTTTACCTTTTGTCCCCTCTGGTTTCCAGCATTTCATGTCTGGTATATAAAGGTCTCTTACAAGCATTACTTGTTTTCTGTTTTCATTTTCTGTAGGCTGCCATCCAACAGCAGAAAATCCAAACCTCAGAAGCCCTGCTGAGATGGGAAAAATCATAGTTTATGAGCATGCTAACTTCCAGGGTATGTCCAAAGAATTCCACACCAACATTGCCAACCTAAAAGATGCAGATTGGAATGATTGTATCTCCTCAGTGAGAGTAATTGGCCATCCTTGGGTGGCTTATCAGCATGCAAACTATAAAGGACAGTTACTGGTACTTGAGGAGGGAAATCATGACTTCGTTGGTAAAAAGATGAATGACAAGATCAGCTCTCTGCAGGTGATCACTGAAAATCTGCACAATCCCCAGATCACTCTCTATGAGCATGCTGATTATCGAGGGAAGAGCAGAATAATAAGAGAAGCCACCAATCTGTCCAGGGGACATGACAATGACACCACATCTTCACACAAAGTCCAGAAAGGTGTCTGGCTGCTGTGTGAGCACGGTGATGGAAGTGGATTTCAATACATTGCTCGAGAGCATGAACACCTTCCAAATTACAAGGCAATCAAGTTCAATGACAAGCTTTCCTTCCTGCGTCCCCTTCGCCCTGGCTGTGGCTGTTAGATTGCAAATCCTGCAGCGCTGAGAAAAGATGCAGCTGCAGCAAGAAAACTAAGACCTTGTTCTCTGCCTCTGCTTGTGCTGCCCTTTCCCCCAGTGTCACAGGACCACCAGATATGAGAGCTCTCCTGCCCCACAAATGGCCTCTGCCATTGTCTGTAATCCATTTTGTGTGGGTGCCAATAAAGAATCTTTTGCAATCAGCAGTGGATTTATTTTATGCAGTGTTTCGTGTAGGTAAACATTTTGCTTTCATGGTGAGATATCTCTGTGTATCCAGAGAATGTTTTGTGCAGTCACTTGCAAATATTTTTCATGGATCTCTCCTGTAGAATTTTATCTCCTTCCAGTTTCACTGTTCAGAAACATTGCGACCAGACTAAAGAGCTTGGTAAGCATTTGGATCATTGCTGTGATGCTGAGCCAACTTTCACCTGTAACCTGTATTTAACTATCCCATGAATTCTGTATCTCAAGGCATTGATCATAGAATCCTGGAATCCTATGAAGTCTGAGGCTGGGAGGTGCTTAAAGATCATTCCAACCCTTCTTTCATGGGCAATGACACCTTCCACTAGACCAGGTTGCTCGAAGTCCCATCCAACCTGGCCTTGAATACTTCCAGGGACGAAATCCACAACCTCTCTAAACAACCTCTTTCAGTGCCTCATCAACTTCACAGTAAAGAACTTTTCCATAACATCCAATCTAAGTGTCTACTCTTTTAATTCAAAACCATTCCATCCTCATCTTGTTACTAGTTGCCCACTCAAAAAGCTGCTCCTGCTCTTTCTTATAAGCCCATTTCAAGAGCTGGAAGGCTGCAATGAGGTATCCCTGGAGCTTTCTTTATTCTGAGATGAACAACCCCAGATTTCTCAACCTGTCTTCATAGGAGAGGTGCTCCCACCCCATGACCATCTCCCAGTCTATGCTCTCATGTCTGGGATTGCCCCGACTCAGGTGCAGCACCTTGCACTTGGGCTTGTTGAACTTCATGAGGTAAGTATGGAATCATTTCTCAAGTTTGTCCAGGTCCCTCTGGATGGAATCCCATCCTTTTGTTGTGTCAGCTGCACCCCTCAGCTTTGTGTCATTTGCAGACCTGCTGAGGGTGTCATTGATAAAGATCTTAAAAATCACTGGTCCCAGAACAGAGAACCCTGATGGACTCCAATTATCACTGGTCTACTTCTGGGCATAGAGCCACCGACCACAACTCTCTGTGTGTCTATTTTCCAAATAGTTCACCCTTCAAACCCATGTATCTCAGTTTGGAGATAAGGATGCCACATGGGACCATGCCAAAGTTCTTAAGGAAGTCGAGGTATGCGAGTGACATTGGCTGGTTTCCCCTTTTTGATGGCTGCAATCCCTCCATCACAGATGGCCACCACATTGGTCAGGCATAATCTGCCCTTAGTAAAGCCATGCAGGCTGTCTTGGATCATCTTCTTGTCTTGCACATGCCTTAGAATTGTTCCCATGGGGATCTGCTCCATGATGTTCACAGGCATATAGGTGAGGCTCACTGCTCTGTAGTTCCCCAGATCTTCCTTTCTCCCCTTTTTAAAAATAAGATGATGTTACAGAATTTCGGAGAGGGCATGATTTATGTCTGGAATGAGATTTGAGCTACTCCAGCCTAGGCCTCAGATTTGGGCCTTGTGAGGCCCTCTAAGACTGTGATGCAGTTAGAATTTATATTAAGGTGTGATGGGAAGCACTGGGCTGTCTGGGTGTGAAGTAGTATAGGTTTATAGTGTGAGGTTTAGGCCACCTTAAGGCAAAGGTAAACAATGTTAGCTTGCCAATGAGAGTGCCTTTGTAAACTGTAAACTATATTGAAGTGTATATAAACTTCCATCTTCTCACTAATTAATGGAGAATGTTGCATTAACCATATTGGTTCGATGTGCGTTCTTCCTAGAGGAAGGAATTCAAACTCTGGAAGTCCTGCTGAGATGGGAAGAATCATCCTTTATGAGCATACCAATTTCCAGGGTTTGTCCAAAGAGTTCGCTTCTGATATTGCCAATTTAAAAGATGCAGACTGGAATGATCTTGCCTCCTTGGCAAAAGTAATTGGCCAGCCTTGGGTGCTTTATGAGCATTCGAACTATGGAGGCCGATTTCTGGTACTTGAGGAGGGAGACCATAGCTTTTTTGTTACAAAGTTGAATAATAAGATCAGTTCTCTGCAGATGATCACTGAAGATCTGAGCAATCCTGAGATCACTCTCTATGAGCATGCCAACTATCAAGGGAAAAGCAGGGTAGTGCGAGAAGCAACCAACCTGGCTGCGGGACACGACAACGACATCATGTCTTCCCACAAAGTCCAGAGAGGTGTGTGGCTGCTGTGTGAAAACAGCGATGAAAGTGGTATTCAATACATTGCTCGAGAACATGAAAACCTTCCAAATTACAAGGCAATCAATTTCAATGACAAGCTTTCTTTCCTGCGTCCCCTTTGTGCTGGCCATTCTTATTAGAATGCAAATCCTGCAGCGCTGAGGAAAGATGCAGCCCTGGCAAGAAATCTGAGACCTAGATCTCTGCCTCTGCTTTTGTCACATTCTTAGTGATTTTTTTTTTTAATGCCCCTGCAATACCATGGCTTCTGCTATTGTCTCTAATCCATTTTGCGTTGGTGCCATTAAAGAAGCTCTTGCAAGCAACAGTGGGTCTGTTTCATGTACTATTTCGTGTAGCTAAATATTGCCCTTTCATGATGAGATGTCTCTGTGTATTCAGAGAATGTTTCGTGCTGTTACTTTGAGGCCTTTTTCATGGATCTCTCCTGTAAGATTTTATCTCCTTCCAGTTTCACTTTTCAGTAACAGGGGGTTCAGGCTTAACTCAACCAGTGCTAAAGTCATGGTGAGCATATTAATTATATGCTCAATTGCTGTGATCCTGGCCAAACTCTCATCTGCAGCCTGTATATAAATATCACATATTTGATTGTACCTCAAGACATTGATCATAGTCGTGATACAGCCTTTTACTCCCCAAATTACATAATCAAACAGACTGTTCTCATAAATTTGAATTGTCTGAATGCTTGGTCTCAATGGTAAAAGTTGTCTGATTTTTTTAAACAGCTGTCTCGCTTTCAATTCAGTTATTGATGCTTCCCTTAATTTTTTTCTTGTTTTTCTTTGTCAGAGTATTCGTCCCCCTTATGCTGCTGTGTTTTCTTGGCCGTGCCTTGGCCTTTGAATTCAACAGAACAATACTGTGGCAAAACTTAAATGAGATTCTCCATACTGGTAAATCAAATCTCAAAAACTGCAAAGCATATTGCTGACAAAAGCAGTAATGAGAGACCTTCTTTCAGAGATCTGTAGAGGTCATCAGGAAAATAAATGTGACATGGACAAATGTGCGCAGCTACAGCAAATTATTCCATAAGCAATTCCCCTCCTTGGACCAAACTTGCCTTTGACTTTTTTGTGGTCCCAAAGCCCTATTCCTGTTCACACAGTCCCACAGGCTGGCAGGGTGCAGTTCACCTAGGTAAACACCATCAGCCCCAGAGCTCAGCACAGACTCATCATGGGTCCCCCAGGCCCCTGGCCTGTTTATGATCTCTATGCCCCAGAGGCAAGTGCACTCAAACGAGACCTGGTGCTGTGAGACACCTTCCCATGCAATGTCACCCATGGGGATGTCATGGTTTGACACTGGCCAAACACCAGGCATACACGAAAGCCACTCACTCAACCTCCCCTGCTACAGCTGGACAGAGAAGAGAAAAATTTAACAAAGGGTTCATTAGCTGGGATACGGACCAGGAGGAAACACTCCAAGGGCAAAACAGGCTCAACTTAGAGGTACAAAGCGAGTTCATTACTAACAGCATCAGAGCAGGATAATGAGAAGTAAAATAAGCCCTCAAAACCAGATTTTTCCCCCAGCCCCTCCATCCCACTGGAGACAAGGGTGTGGGGGTTTTGGTCAGTTTGTCACCTGAGGTTTTCTTCCCCTGTGCAGGGAGGGAAGTTGTTTCCCTGTGAGACTGTGGGGTCCCTCCCACAGGAGAAAATTCTCTGTGAACTTCTCCAGCAGTCTTCCCAAAACTGCTCTGGCGTGGGTCACTCTTCCTTGAGGTGCAGTCCTCCAAGGACAGGCTGCTCCAGCCTGGAAGCAGGGGCCCTTCCCCTCCACCAAGCCACCCACTGGACACAGCCTCCTCCAGGCATCCACCTGCTCCAGCATGGAAACCTCCCCCACGGGCTGTGGGTGGATCTCTGCATCCCCCTGGATCCCCACGGGCTGCAGGGGCACAGATGCTTCACCATGGTCTCACCATGGCCTGCAGAGGACTCTCAGCTTCAGCGCCTGAAGCACCTCCTGGCCTCCTTCTCCACTGACCTTGGTGTCCCCATGTTGTTTCCCTCACATGTTCTGTGATGCCTGATCCTCTTCTCCATCTGGAATTAAAACTATGCCCCCACCTTTGTTTTGGTTTCCTCTTAAATAGATTATCACGGGGGTGTTACCATCATCTCTAATTGGTCTAGCCTTGGCCACTGGAATGTCCATCTTCAAAGCCATCAGGGATTGGCTCTGCTGGACATGGCGGAAACTTCCAGCAGTTTCTCACAGAAGCCACCTCTGTGGCCCTCTCACTACCAAAAACCAGGCCATGCAAAACCAGCACAGGGGAACACAGTTTACTGATCTAGGGCAGTTCCCAGTGCAGTGATACCCAGGCTCAAGCAGAATGCAGCTTGAGGTGTCCTTAGCAGCAGCACAAGATGGAATGAGCTGTTGTTCGTGTGCACTTCCAGACCTCACAAGTCTGACAGAGTGACAAACAAGGCAGCAAAACCCAGTCAAATGTCTTTGAAAAGGCTGGGAACAAACTGCCTATTGGTATCAGTGAAGCCAGAGCCTACCAGCCAGGCTCTTCCCCACAGGAAAATACCAGAGTAAAATCTTTAGCATGTTTAAGAGATGACCAGTGACAGCAAAGCAGGTGCCTATTTGTCACTTTATGCTCCCCCTCTTCCTGTGCTCACTCAGGAACCAAGGCAGGAGATACTAATAGAGTTAGTGACCACCAAGTGTACAGAGCAGACCACAGGAGATGAGAATCCTGCTGGGATTCCTGTACTCACACATCTTCTCTTGGAAATGTGCATGACACATCAGATGGACTCACATCCTTGAAAATGCCTCCAAAACCATCTTT